AGAGACACTATGCTGGAAGAGACAAGCAGTAAACCCATAGGAACAAAAGATTCATCTAGCAGCAGGGAAAGGAAAAACATCTTGGAGAAACTGGTGGCAAGATATGGTGCCAGACTGGAAGTGTGGAGAAAAGCAGAGACAGGAATAACAAAGTAACACCAATATTATTGAGCACAAGGAACTGGGCTGAAAAACTGCTTATCATCAGCAACTAGCAAAGTTTAGGCCCTTTTCCAATCAGCTGCTGCCTCAAGGGCTTGCAGTTTCCTTCAGGAGCTTTCTAGTCTTGTCTCTCAGTACCACACACAATATTTCAAATCATTTACCAGTGAGGCCAAGAAATTTTTGTCTTCACTGGTACCACAACTGCTCTGTATCATTAAAAAAATATCCTGCAGAGCTTCCACAGGATTTTCAGGGAAGTCAGTTCAATCCGAGTTGTCTTAGCATGTCAAAGGTTGTAGCTGAATCAACAGCAATACCAAAGTCCTAAAGGAAAAGCAAGGCTGCTTCCTTTATGTCAGACTTTACATTTTTCCTATTCATCTGTTATGCTGACTTCTTTTTATAGACATCAGTACAGACACATTGAAATTCTGGTCTTTTTTTCTGTAAAGGCATGATGATTATACTGCACAGTCAATATACCAATTTAACCCTGAACAATCAGATACTTATCAACATACCTTTTGTTCCTTAAGGTCAACATACCAAGTCCATCCAAATTAAGTTGAAAAGACCACAAGGGTCAAGAAATGGAGTAGTTGGTATTACTATATACTTTATATAGAGCTTTATGACATAAGTCTGCTTTAATGAGTACATGCTGTCTAGTAAAGTTGATACTGCTGTGGGAATTTTTAACATTTTTGTTTTAAACATCCAATTTCTCGACTTCTCTTTTTTTTAAAGTGAAACAATCTTGCAATTCTACACAGAATAGTCAACATCAGACATTTCTAGATTAAAAGAAAATGAAGGTTAGGTAATCATTAACATAAAGATAGCTCCTTCCTTCTCCAACAGATCTGCTTCTGGTATATATTCAATCTATATCAAATCCACTTACTTCAGCAACTAAGACCAAGGCTGCTGTTCTCACCTATCAAAAGATGAACTGTATTTTTATTCAAGTTTATGCACCTTCCGATCTACAAAGTCTTTGACTAGCCCTGATTCTTGGAAGTGCTGGCTGCATCTACACAAGATGCTGACTGCGTGGTAGCTCGTTACTACAGCACAGTAGCATCGCATGGCGTGACATGCAATGCGATGCTACTGTGAAATAGTAACGAGCTACTGCTCACTCAGATCACCAAAAAACTGTTTGGGGACACTACTGCACAGCAATGCCGGTCACTGCTCAGTCATTTAGTACTTGTGCAAGTGTCAGCGTCTTGTGTAGATGTGGCCACTGGTCGTCTAAAACTACTAGTATTAGTATCTAAAAGTACTACCAAGGCTACAACACATTGTTGATGCCTAACAGTTGCAACTATAAGGCCATGCATCCAAAGCAGAATATAGGGTAGAAGAAAGGTTATGCAAGACAAAGAAAACAATTTGATTTGGTATTGTGAGTTTGTAGAGAAGCTAGAAAAACCAACATCGTACAGTGAAACTCAATAACTTTGATTCACAGATATCCCTGACACACACTATGCAATTCTATGCTGTCATTTTTATAAAAAGTTAAATTTTAAAGTACAACTGCAATTTAGGTATATAGAGCTACTCAACTTTTAAGCAACAAATTCATAGTTTTCAAGCAAAATACATACATATATACACACAAACACACACACATTTTTTTCTGCATATTGTACATCTTAATTATGTCAACATTGTCACAAATGCATCTGCTGTGCTCAAATATGCTTTATTCATGTCAGCAATCCTCTACTCCCTCCCCCCATACACACCACAATCTGGTCATTTATTTTCATTGCTCAATGAAGTGTGGTCAGATGCAGCTAAGTATTCATAATTGGCAAAATCCTTGTGTTATTTTGGCTCCTTTCTGTTACACCAAGAGACAAAAGGTTCACAAAAGGTTTCGCAACCAGCAGGGAAAGGATTTATTTGGTATAGGCACTGTGAAGATGGCCATGAGGCTGGCTTCTAAACCCTACCCTAGGGAATATATCAAGGACAATTGGGGTATGTCACAGGTGTGACTGACTGCAGAGATTCTGCGAGGTACAGCAGCCCACATCCTAGTGTGGGGAAGTGGCTTTTACTTAAGACAAGCTCAGGGGCCTCACTAGTCACTTAGCAACATAATTATGTCATCCCAGAAGGATGCAAAGGTGGTACAGAATCTCTTTGGATCATCTATCCCCTGGACATTATATTCTGTGTTGTGCTCCTGAAGGCAAGTACAATTGTTCTATCAGCAAGAACTATTCTGCCAATGGATCCATTCCCTTTCTTACTGGAACTGTTTATGAAATATCCTCTATGAAATACAACCTTGATCTTTCTCCTTTTTGTGCCAGCCAGATGCCCTTATGTCTAAGTATGCAAATGGACAGATGTTACTTTGAGGTTCTCTCCAATATAGGCTGTTCCAAAAACAGAGAAATGACCATATGCTAACCTTTTACACTTAACCTTCCCAGTTATTAAAATGATCTCTCTGTAGTTTCTTCCCTTAACTAACTTCACATATTTGAAAAGTCAAAATTAAAAAGGTATAATACAGTGAGACGCTAAAAGCATCAAAATTCACAAACCCATAGACTTCAGTATTGTCTTTTGACCAACATACTTCAAATTTTATACAAGGAGTAAACAATGTGCTCCAGGCAACATTTGGGTGCTTGAAAAGTGAAAAATGTCTTCCAGTGCCTAGTATAAGTTGAAGAAAATTTTGCTGAATAATGTAGGGCAATTAATAAATGCTAAGTGTACAGGAAAAAAACAGCTATGTGGGGCAGAGAAAAATTCTAAAAATAGAAAAAGAAAGGAACAGCATGGTCTTAAAGACCAAAAAAAAAAAAGTCAATTCTAGTTCAAACCAAGAAACCCAAGAGACCTAGATAAAACCTATATTCAGAAAGCATCTTGCTCCAACTGCACTAGTCACAGTAAAACCATGCACAACACCATCTTGGTGGAGAGGGTAGGGGCAGAGATTGTGCTGATCAATGCCCACAAAAGCCTAAATTGTGGCCACATAGCTGGTTAAGCAGGTATGAGTTAAGAAACTAATATTTACTACCTTGCACCCTTAAAAAAGTTGAATAATACTGCAATTATGTAGGCATATGATTCATACTGTACACATCTAATCACTATCAAAGTTACATGCATACAGGACTGGATCTTCTTCTGCTGGCTAAACTAAGCAACCAACTCCCATAGTATCCAATTGTTACACTGTTCAAGTTTTGAGTTCTGTTTTTATACAAGGAATATTTTGAAAGAGAGTAAAATTATCAGCAAATGATCTTCATAAAACAGAGAGATGAGCAACATATAAATGCCTAGATTGACAGAAGAGAATAACTAATTCACTAAGAACTCTTAGAACAAGTGACAGAGAACACAGACTAGCAGTCAAGTACCAACAGTTGATGCTTTTAAGTCTTTATAAATATATAATCATGTAACAGAACAAAAAAACCTCCTTTACCTCTCTTAATATCATCCAGCTGAGGTTCAGGTGAAGGGTTGTCTTTCACAGGGGAAGTTTTAGGTCCAGCTGCTGGCTTGGTTGTGGCTCTGAACTGTGATGAAGGCTGCGAGGCTCGGGCAGACTGTTGTTCTATTCGGGCCTGAATCTTACTGCTGCCCTCAGCTCTGAAACAACATGCATAATATTGGAATATCGGTGGTGCCACAGAACTGTATTAAGTTTTCCTAGTCAGATTCATGTTCCAAATCTATTTAATGATTTCAGTGTGAATGCCTATTTACTTTGCATCTTGTGGAGCTTCACTGCAAATTACATATTGTAAGTGCTGCAGTGCCAAAAACTGCTCTCTTTTAGTACATGACATTACTGCTGTTTAACAGGAAGTCTACATGTGAAAAGACTGCAGGGTTGCATCCTTATTAAATGTATTTCAAGTCTATGTGAGATTCTGTATACAAAATATTTTAATTTGCCAATGAATATTTGTCCTTTTAAAATCAAATTAGATATCTTTCATCCTGAATCATCTTAAGTTGGTTAGGACAAGGGTCAGCAACCTATGGCCTGTGAAAACTTTGGATCCAGCCCACAAATGTGGGACTTTGATGGTGGGTTCACTCCCTGTACCACTGCAGGGGATGAGTGCTAGCAGTGGGAGTGGCCTAGCACTCACCCTCCTGCCTACCTCTGACCCAGAGTGGGTCATTCCAGCCTGCAGCTTGAAAAGGTTGCCAGTCAGTGTACATCTAAAGCTTCAGTGTAGCATCCAGCTACCCGAGCTGGATACTGGGAAGCAATATCCATGGCTGCTACTTTACTCTGCCAATTAGTGAACAATATCAGGTACCAGAAGCAAACTAACAGCTCCCTCAATAATACCTCTACACTACACTGGGGCCTGCAGTGCTGACAGACCCACAGAAATTAAATACATAAAGACCAATTTTTCTGTCATTGATATGCAGCTTTGAATCCGGTGAGGAAGCCGGGTCTAAAACTCCTCCATTGTAAAGAATGCCAAGTGATCTTTAAAGATGTAAGTGGTCATGACCACAGTTTTACATCTCATTTAAAAAAAAACATGAATGACTCCCAAAGTCCAGGGTCCTGAAGTACCATGCTGATACACTGACTCAGAGAGAAGTGGGACCTACTGAATCATGAGTGCTAAGCTGTTTCTAGGGGGTCTCCCAGCCAACAACTATCCTGGCCCCAATTTGCATCTCTAAAAAGTTTTGGGAGGCCCTCAGCCAATGGTTCAATGATTGCAGTGATGCATTTTTAACATTTCACATTTTAAGCTACTTAAAAATGACTTATGCATGAGATATTTAAATAACCGCACGCTCCTTAGAATTCAACTAAACTGTGTTCAGCGGTGCCTAAAGAATTCAATTCACAGACTTCAGGTGCCTAGCTATCAGCATGACTACTTTGAAATATATTTCATCTGTATACTTTGTGGAGTGTAATCTGTGCACTGAGGTATGAATTTCAGATTTGGCAGAAGTTCTGACCTCAGCAATTCTTTTAGGCAAGAACCTACAACAAATAATTATACATCCATTATTTTTCAAGCCTTGCATCTTTAAGTTTTGGCCTTTTGCTCTGTTTTGTATATTTATCTACTCTATGCAGGCATGTGTTTCTCCCAGTTTAATTAGTATAAATAACTAGAGGCTTATGACTTCTACAGAAAGTCTTCAGGTCTGTTACTTACAAATCTAACTGGCCATTTGCTGGGTTGGCACTTCCAGCTTTATTAGAGATCCCTGAGAGTCACTCAATCTTTTGGTCAGCTTGCAAACTTTTAAAATATCAGATATTACTGGCCAATAATTAATTATAATGATCTCTTTTCAGTAATGGGCATTCCACTACTTACACCTAGATATACAAATACAATAGAGATTTACTTGTTAAGGTATGATTGGTCACACTAGGTCCATATGATTAAACATTATACAAAAAGCCACAAGAAATCAAAGCCATCGCCCAAAAGAACACCATTAATATTAAGCTCTGGCAAAAATTAATTATATGAATTCATGTGTCCCCAGTTTTACCTTGTTTTCTTGACTTGAATGCTGCTACTAAGTTTTTCAAGCACATATTCTCCAGTGTCATGATTGATAATAAGTACACAGTCCTTCTGGTATGGCCTTTTATTTCCTTTGAAAACGGTCATTGGAGGAGTTGAGCCCTAGTATTTAAGAAGTACACATTCATTTGACTATGCCCACAGCATATAAACCACTCATAAAAGGTAACTCTAATGAATACAGGGATTTCTCTGACTTAGGATCAAGAAATTATTTAATTTTTATTCAAAACACTTGTTAATTTTAAAGGGGATGAATACATTCATATGGATTAGATCAGACTTTTCTTCACCACCACAGCAGTATCACACCTGTAATCCTTTTAAGTAGCTTTGTAGTGACAAACATGTCCATTCTTTGGCAACTATTATTTGTAATTCTCCTTTCAAATATGGTTACTTAATTTTCATAGTTCACACTGACAACTGTTAGGAACCTCCCTAAATTTTTATGAGCTCAGAAAACCTTAGGTTTGCATACAAAATATAGTTCCAATTATGCATGCAGTAGAACAGCCATCTGAGGAAGAGAGAGAGAGAGAGAGAGAGAGAGAGAGAGAGAGAGAGAGAGTGTGTGTGCGCGCGCACGCGCGTGTGCATAGTCGATACATCATTTAAACTGCCTTCGTATTTAATCTAAATAAAAAGCAGTACCTCTGTACTATGTTATGAATGCAAATATCAGATATTATATTTAAATGTAGATCAAATAAGCAGAATTGAGTCACATCTGCATCAAGGAGGTTTTTAGGTATCTGAAAAATGAAACGATACATGCAGGAAACAGAAGGGCAGGCATGTCACTAAAAAGTTTACAAAGGAACAGCAAAAATATTTAGGGACAATAAGGAAAGCTAAAGAGAAGTAGCTAAATGGCAAATAAATGACAAGAGATGTTAAGGGCAACAGCAAGAGGGTTCTACAAGCAGGTCAGAAAAAAAAAGATCAAGGAAACTGTGGGTCTGCTGCTCAGAGAAGGTGAACTATTAGCAGTAGACACAAAGAAGGCAAAGCTGAATGCCTGCTTTGCTCCAGTCTTCACAAATCAGAACTTCAGTTAGACAAGTAGCAAAATTTATGTAAAGAAAGAATGAAAAAAAAAATGTAGTTCCTGATAAGTAAAGGAATGCAATCAAAAAAAAAAAAAATCACTCATAATAGCAAAAATTAAAGTTAGCATGACCTGATGGAAATCACCCTGAGATATGGAAAGAACTAGCTGAAGAAACCTCAAAGAACTGGCAACAATAACATTTGAAATTCATGAAGGACAAGTGAAGTCCCAGAGGACTGGAAAAGGTGCCCATATTTAAAAAGGAGGGCTCTGGAAATTACAGAATAGGCAGCTTGATTTTGATATCTGGGAAGTTATTAGAGCAAATTATAAAACATTCAGTTTGTAAACATCTAGATGATGCCGGTGTGATTGCTTGTTGCCAACTTGGATTTATTAAGAACAAATCATGCCAAACCAACTTGATCTCCTTCTCTGACAGGAAAGCAGGTTTGGTCCATAAGCAGAATAAAGTGGACATAATATACCTGGAGTTAAACAGGCTTTTAACAGAGTCTAACATGCCACTCTCATAGGGAAGCCAGAGACATGTGGACTAAACAGAATTACAATGATACTGTGACCATTATAAATCACTTGTATAACAAGCAAAAGCAAAGAGTAAATATCAATGGATCAATTTCAGGGTAGCAGAGGTTTTAGGGGGTTGACAGGCTCTTCTGGAGCCAATGGTACTTTAACGTTTTTATTAATGACTTGGATGCAAGGATAGATAATAGATTGATCAAATCTGCAGATGACAAATACTTCAGAGGATAGGATTAAAACTTAGAGGGATCCTCAGTAATCGAAGCAGTCAGTGAATTTGGACATCAGTGAAGTTCAACAAAGACTACCAAAAGGTTCTACCCAAAGGAAAGAAAAAATATAAATACAAAATGGGATTACCAAGAAGGATCTGGGGCTTATGGTGGAGAACATGCAGTTCTGAGTGGCATTAGACACAGTATGTAAGACCCAAGAGATAATAGCACAACTCTCAGTGCTGGTTAGGCTTCAGTTGGAGTAATGTTCCAAGCACCACAGTTTAAGAAGGATGCAGAAAAGCCAGAGAAGAACCAGAGATAAGCAACAAGGATGTTAAAGGGGTTGGGAATGAAGGCTGTATGAGGAGATGCTGAAGGAACTAAGCATGCTCAGTTTGGAGAATAAGAAAGTGTGGGGGGTAGGGGAGGACATAATATTAGTCTTCAAATATTTGAATGGCTTCAGTAAAGAGGGATACAAATTATTGTACCCTGCCACAGAAGGAAGGGCAAAAGGAAATGGGTTTAAACTGCAAAAAAGCATATTTAGATTAAGTCTCAGGAAAAACCTCCTAACTGTAAGAACAGCAGGACCATGAGACAAGCTGCTTAGAAGGAAAGTTGTGGAATCTTCTTCTCTAGAGGTTTTCAATTAAGAGGCTGCAACAGGCCTCTGCCTGGGATGGTTTAGGAACAGTAAATTCTGTACCTGTGCAGCGAATTGAACTAGATGATCTCTGAGGTCCCTTCAATGCTGGGATTTTATACTGCACTGAGACGCATATCTAAGAGCAAAAGTGTTAATCAAAAACCTGACAGTTTGTCTGAGGGGTATGTAAATTTATATCCTCCACTATGAAACCCAGTCAGATTTTATACATGCAATAGCTGTAGAGCAAAGGAGAAAGAATAGTGAGGTTTATTTACAACTGAACAAGCAGGAGGCTGTGCTTCAGAGACCTGAGAGCACCTTTGCCAATCAATATTCTTGGGAAGCCTCTTAATCAAGAACAGTATGCAAAAACAGTCTCTTTGGGCTTCCCTGCTTTTAAAGGGAATCATAGCCCTTTAAATACAACTTTGAACTACCAAAGTGATAGAGCTCAGGGACAGGGCAAATGCAAATGTGAAACTAGAATTGGTAACCCATCCAATTGCCAGGTATCTGGTAAAAACTGTTCGTTACAATAGAAGAACAGGATCTAGGAGATCAGGAAACCCCCTTGGTTGTTTTATCAGTACGTGAGTGTGGGAAGTCTTGGTATCATCACATTCTTTATCAGCTGGTATCCTAGTTTCCTCTGATAAAAAAAATTCCCAATTTTTGGATTAAAAAATGTAGCCCAAAATCCACATTTTTTCATGATTAAAATGAAATGTCATTAATATATAGAGATGTATTTGGTAGCCGTGTTAGACCAACATGGCTACCAAATACATCTCTGAAACATGGAAGATGCCGAATTTTAGCCAATTTAGGATTTAAACTTTATTGCTGAACAACAAGAAAGATTTCTACACCTCCCTACTTGCCATCTGACACTACCAGGCAAGTAATCTGGCCTTATCTGCACATCAAAAAGCAACTCACAAAGACACTTTCATGGACCCTGAGGAACAGACTTCCACCTCCAGCTTCCTCTGTACAAAATGAAGTTTATTTTCTACCTATGGGGACTTTTCACCATCTTTAATTTTCCCTGAGCCTGAGGAAGGGCATGTGTGCCTGAAAGCTTGCAAAAAAAGATATTTTTGGTATCATCTCTGAACCAAGAGTTATACAGTTTTGCATTTCCATTAATATCTATCTATCTACAGTGGCATTTCATTTTAATCAAGGAAAAATGTGGATTTTGGGTTACTTTTTTCATCCAAAAATTGGGGATTTTTTTTTAAAATCAGAGGATGAATCAAATCAAAACAAAATTTTCTGTTCTTACCAGAGTAAAATTAAAATTTTTTTAATCCGAACAGGCATCTGGAAGGGTGCAAGACAACCAATTTTGATTTACGAATATAAAATAAGGGAACAATATGATTGTTGATCAAAGGAAAAGGAAAGGAGTGTTACCCATCCATTTTAAACCTATCTATGTTGTATAGTAATTCAAGTATGTTAGACTGATAATATTAGCCTGAGCCAACACACAAATCCAGTTATACAACACAGGTGCAGGATTTGTTTCACTGAGGAATTCCCAAGCTCTTTATTACAAAACGTAAGCATTTGCAAAGGTTTGGCCATATTCTTCATTGTCACTTGACTATCATCTTGGCACAACAGATCTTTATTGTATAACTTGTGAAGGAACTGGGACTTAAGTTCATTGCATCTGACCAGAAGTACCTTCCAACCTCCTACGAAGTTGAGGTACAGGATGGGGAGGATGGGGTACACAGTACGTGTTGTTTGCATAACCTTCAGTAACCAAAAGCCATATTAAAAGGTCTATGTTTAGCCTTCTTAAAGTTGTATCTTGATCCATACTTAAACTATTTATGTATTTATTTATTCAATGTATATGCCACTCTTCCCAACAAAGTCTCAGGGTGGCTTACAATAAGAAAACAGAATAACTTAAGAACAGGAAAGTGAAAAGAAGACCAAAACAACTTAAAAGGGAATCAGAACATCAAAATAAAGCAAAGACCCCCTAAACAACTTCTTATTCTAGTTAGAGAACTAAATATAATAAAAAGTACAGGTGCACCGATAAAGATTTTTTGGGCCGATACCGACAGCCGACGATTAACCAGCCACACTGGCCAATTCTGATCCAATTGCCAATATTCAGCCTGGCAGCTTGGAGAGTATATGTCTGGCTGGTAAGTCTGTTGTGGGGGAAGGGGTAGGGAGAGGGAAGGGGTGGGTGGGAGGCAGATTGAGGCAGTGAGGGAGAGAGTGGGGCTTGGGCAGGGGCAGGCACTGCCCAGCCAAGGTAGGGTACAGGATGGAGCCATGAGTGGCCTGTCCAGGGGATTTGGAGGGGGGGGTGGATCCCGCCACTGTGCACACCCCCAGGGGAACCATGGGGGGTGTATGCCCCCCAGATTTGTGAACAGGGCGAGGGTGGGCTGCCGCTGTGGGCTGGGGATGGAGGCTGCGCTCGGGCCAGACAGTGGCGGCCCTGGGGTTGGGGGGGTGCAGGGGGACTACAACCACCCCAAAATTCACCATAGCCCCTCCTCCCAGTGCTGCTGTCACATCAAGCACAGCCCCAACCCAGCCCCCACACCGGGAAGAGCGCAGCACAGCCTCCGGCCCCAGCCTGCAGCAGAAGCCCACGTTCTCCCCATGCGCAGATCCAGGGGGCACATGCCCCCCATGCCTCCCCTGGGGGTGTGTGCTACAGTGGAATCTGCCCCCTCCCCCCCAGTGGCTCTGTCCCATGCTCTACCCCAGCTGGGCAGCTCCTGCCCCTACCCCAGCCCCACTCCTTCCCTCACTGCACGGGCCTCAATCTGCACCCCTCCCATACTCCTTACATCTCCCCACCCCAACAAACTGTTCAGCTGGACACCGCTCTCCAAGCTGCCAGGCTGTCTGTTTGCAGGCGGCACTGCAGCTGCATGCATGCATGCGGCATTTATCTGTGGCATTATCAGCCACATCAGCCAAAAAAAGCAGAGGGCTGATAATGTCTGTTTTCCTTTTACTGGTGCTGATACGATATGGACCGATCTATCTGTGCACCTCTAATAAAAAGTGGATTGGAACTCCAGCTAGGACCCCAAGAAACCCCAAGAAAGATAAACTGTAAGCAAAGACGACTGGACTTTTACAGACTCCATTTTAAAATGATATGCTGATATAGTCAAACACTGAAATGTTTTGCTTTAGTTTTGTGATCAAAGGTAAAAACAACACATTAAATACATCTAAAGCAATATAAACCTGAATAGCAGTCAGCAAGAAAAAAAAACACAGTGAATTTGCCACAAAGTTGAAAAGTAAAACTGCACTGTAACATACAATAAACTTACTGGAATATGTGGCAATGTTATTGTTACTTCATCTCCTTTACCAACTTGGAGCTCCCCTTCACAAGATGTGTCTATGGATGCTGGCTTAAAATCATCTAAAGAAAAAAGAAAAGAAAAAAAACTGGTAACAAAGACACACTATTTCTAAACCATTTCTGGGGTCTTCATGATTTCTTTCTCTCCGGAAAAAAATATCCCCTAATTTATCTTTATTACAAGGAAAGTAAAAAGGTGGGCTAAGACAGCTATTAGAAACAGGGAAGGATTAACACATAGGCACAACAACAGAGAGTGTCCCCAGCCCACCTGTGCTCTGGTTAGGGAATTTCTCCTGAGATGTGAGAGATGTGGAGAGAGGCTCTCCTCCAGAGCCAGGCTTAAAAGCCAGACCACCCACTTCCTGGGTGAGTGCCAGCCTATTACATAAAAGGTTGCTACAGGTGCCAAAAACATTACCTTTCCTCTGACCATGCCTTAAAAAAAAAAAAAAAAAAAAAAAAAAAAGGGAGCCAGGCACCTGTACCCAAAGGGATGGTAGACTATAAGTCTAAGCAGAAGTCTTACCCTGTGAATCCTAGTATTGCATAGGCCTCTAATTACGGTGTAGGTCCAGGCAGAATTTTGGCTATATTCCCCTCTTCAGTGTTTTCTAATGATAAGTGCAATCATCCTCACTCTGCTAGCTGTTGTGAATCATAATCCTGGATGCTTAACTCTCCCTGTTAATAGTACAGAGAATTTAGGTACCTAAATTCCTTTGTGAATATCATCCTGTGGGCTAGACAGAGATACCCAAGACAGCTGTAGAATGAGAAACAATAGTTGTGTTGCACAGTACTGTGCCCAGGCTAACTAGCCCCTGGTTTGGGAGCATGCACATGCACATATACTTAAGATGACACAACCTTAGTGTCTAGACCCTGTGGTTGCTTAAATAGGTACATATGAAAAGGTAAATATGAGAAGCTTAAATAGGCACAGTGACATCTGAGTTTCCAGGTGGCCTGAATCAAGCACAGAACTGCTCTACATCTCTTAGTAGGGTGTTAACTCCAAAACACAGTAAGTTTAGGGGCCCTGTCAACAACACCCCAGAGGACTCTTGAGTGTGACAAAAGACAACTTCAGTCAGTTCAGGTTATTATGAAGATACTCTGTGATTGCTCTGGTTAGTATTGCCTAGGGCCCTTCTGTGCTCCCCTTCCCCCCCTCAGGCAGGAAGATGGACACTTGTGGAGAGAGCAGAAAGGCAAGTGCAGGTTGGGGGTGGGGGACAAGCAAGATACCAAAGTGGGGCTGATGGCAATACAGGCCTTGTGTCATGACATGTTAGAGTCCCCAGTTGCCTAAAAGTGGCCTTAGCTCAAAAAAGGTTTTAGTTTGACTGAACAGAGCATACTTTGTTGTTCTGAACTAGTGTAAGCTAAGACCCTAGGAACTTTTGTTAATACAAAACATTTAATTCAAATAAACGTAATTTCAAAAGAGATTTTCAGTTAGTTATTTAACCACACTACTGAGATATGAAGATAAAGACATAAACAGATGACCACAATGTTTAAAGTTTTGAAAAATGGTTTAAGCTCCTATAGAACAATTAGATCATGACCTAGATGTGGAGGATACTACCATTTTTACAAGCATATTCTTACTTCTGGTCTCACCATACAAAACTGTGCAGCCAAGACGTCTCTAATTATTGTATTTGCTGTTAAAACATCAATTTCATGGAGGTATGTAAAATGCAACTTTACACAAAAGGTAGGCTTGCAAAAAACCCAAAAAACAAACAAGCTTCTTCTAAAGAGATACTCACTTTGAATAAAAGCTGTTGACTTTAATGACAAAAAGCTTAATTGTTCTATACCCTTTCAGCACTCCCAAACAAGAGAATGAAATGGCAACTAGATTTAACTTGTGTTCCTACTTCATCCAAAGACCAAATCATGTCCTCAGGTTTATCCAAGGAACCTTGTAGTCTAAAACTAGTGGCTGTTTTCCCCTAACGTAGCTTTACAGATTTACTGTGTGGAACACGAGAGTAGCCACAGAAAATCAACCCGCCTGTTCCCCCCACCCCCCCCAAATCTGGTCTGTGTGCCAAAAGAAAGAAGCCAGCCGTTCAGCATGGACAGTCTAATGAAACTTATCTTTGAGTGAGAAGTGCATTTCTGACCCTTTATTGGAGCTCTCTGACCTTGGATCTGGCTAACTATAGGCCCATTGGCCTGACTTCTATCCCGGGGAAGATCTTAGAAAAGTTTATTAAAGAGGCCATCCTTAATGGACTGGCCAACGCCAACATCCTAAGGAATAGCCAGCACGGGTTTGCTGCAGGTAGGTCTTGCTTGACCAATTTCATTTCCTTCTACGACCAAGTGACCTATCACCTGGACAAGGGAGAAGAGATTAATATCATATATCTTGACTTCAAAAAAGCCTTCGATCTGGTATCCCATGATCACCTCTTGGCAAAACTGTCCAATTGTGGCCTTGGGTCCACCATGATCTGTTGGCTGGAAAATTGGCTCCGTGGTCGGACCCAGAGGGTAGCAATTAATGGAAGTCACTCATCATGGTGTCCTGTGACCAGTGGGGTCCCCCAAGGCTCTGTCCTTGAACCCATATTGTTCAACATCTTCATTAATGATGTGGACATTGGAGTCAGGAGCAGACTGGACAAGTTCACCAATGACACCAAATTTTGGGGCAAAGCATCCACACCAGAAGACAGGCAAGTGACCCAGGCTGACCTGGATAGGCTCAGCAAAAGGGCAGATGAGAACCTGATGGTGTTTAACACCGAAAAATTCAAGGTTCTCCACCTCGGGGAAAAAAACCTGCATCCTTATAGGCTCGGCAGTGCTACGCTGGCTAGCACTACAGAAGAAAGACTTGGGGGTCATCATTGACCACAAGATGAACATGAGCCTGCAATGCAATGCTGCAGCTAGTAAAGCAACCAAAATGCTGGCTTGCATCCATAGATGCTTCTCAAGCAAATCCCGGGACGTCATTCTCCCCTTGTACTTGGCCTTGGTGAGACTGCAGCTGGAGTACTGTGTCCAGTTTTGGGCTCCACAATTCAAAAAGGATGTGGAGAAGCTTGAGAAAA